TGTACCTAGCAGGATGTTTCTGGACCGACGACAGCTTTTGTGCTTGTAGTGTGCCTGTTGTCGTTGGTATGAAGCAGTCTTTTACGCAGCGCAAAACATGTTCGTGTGCGCCGCAACGGCGCAAGATGTTGAAAAACAATTCTGCGCAGTCGACAACTTTTGCACTTGTTGTGTGCCTCCTGCCCTTGTCGCGGAGCATCCTTTCTGCACACCATAAAATTTGTCTGTACGCAGCAATGGAACAGGGGCGTGAGGTGTGCATGTACTTAGCAGGGTCTCAACACCGGCCAACAGATCAGGCACTTGTGGTGTACTTTGCGGCTGCGTTGCAAAGCAATGAGTCTACGCAGCACTAAACGCGCTTTATACGCAGCATGGCGACACGCAGTTGCGCATATTTCCGTGCTGCTACGGCAGTAACGAACGATGTTTTGGTAGTTCTGATGCGCTTTCCTTCCGCCCCACTTCCTCCCGTTTTTGCTCCCCAGTTCCTGCTCCCCAGCTCTCTTTTGATTTGACAAATTGATTGGGTTTGCCCTGGAGTTTTAGCGGCACATAGTCGGAGTGTGTGAAAAATTCAAGTCAGTTGAATTGCTACCAGTTGTTGGGTTGCGCAGCTGGATTATGTTTAAATTTGAATGACAGGCGACCTAGACCTACTTGGATATTTTTTCTGTGCTCTCCTTTGTGTGCAACGCTGCCTTTGCCGAGGCAATCCCTGCTCTGGGCATGCAGCATGGCAGAGCAGCAAGCAGAAGAACACCAATAGAGACTAGATAAATTTGTTTTTCCCCACATCTTAGTGTGGGGTTCTTCTTTTCTATGTCTCATCCCGCTTCTCCCGCTTCTTCCGCTCCTCCTGCCACGCGTTCTTCCACATACACAGAGATCACACACAGAGACTACACACACAGAGATCACAACACAGAGATCACAGACACAGAGATCACACACACCGAGAATCACACACACATCACACACACACACACAGATCGCAACACAGAGATGACACACACAGAGATCACACACACCGAGAAGCACACATACCGAGACAACACATACCGAGACAACACCCACAGACACCACACACACAGAGATCACAACACAGAGATCACACACACACAGAGATCACAACACAGAGATGACACACACAGAGATCACACACACCGAGAATCACACATACCGAGACAACGCATACCGAGACAACGCCCACAGACATCACACACACACAGAGATCACACACATCGAGACAACACGCAAGTAGATCTGGCTCCGTTAGAGGGTCTGGTGGTTGCTTGGTCGGCTCTGGTCGGCTCTGGTCGGGTGTGGGCGCCGGCGACGCTGTTCCACTGTAAATCGCAGTAGATCTGACTCCGTTAGAGGGTCTGGTGGTTGCTTGGTCGGCTCTGGTCGGCTCTGGTCGGCTCTGGTCGGGTGTGGGCGCCGGCGACGCTGTTCCATTGTAAATCGCAGTAGATCTGACTCTGTTAGAGGGTCTGACTCCGTTAGAGGGTGTGGTGGTTGCTTGGTCGACGCTGTTCCATTGTAAATCGCAGTAGATCTGACTCCGTTAGAGGGTCTGGTGGTTGCTTGGTCGGCAGTGCGTCAGAAGTTTTGCAGTTTAGACTGATTTGTCGAGTTTCTGCATGGGCAGATCGCGGCTGGCCCAGACTGGTGTTTTTCTTATTGCTGACAGTTTGGGTGTAGATGCAAGAAAAGACTAGAACTAGAAAAGAAAAGACTAGAACTAGAAAGATGTTGAAAGATCTGTTTCGAGTGTGCGCTACACTGCCCATAGTGTTTGTCATGTTGTGATGTTAGTTCAGCTGTGGCGTAGCACTTCCACCAGACCATTATAGCGATGCAGAGCGACCCGGGACGTTGAGAACGTCGGTGGTATTAGAGTGCGTATGGCGATCTTGTGAGCAGAGACGATGGAAAGCTCTGTATCAGAGCGGAGGTATGATTTTTCACCCTGGCTACTTGTCGCTATGTGTCGGAAGCTCAGTGACGTGTGTATAAATGTGCTTCAAGCCATGCATCTGTCGTGAAAAGTGCCCGACTGGCCGGGTGTGAGGGCATTGAGCCAGCCAGGTTTTCGGATCGTGTACCGGATCTATCAGGCGACCGCCGTATCACGAATAGAAATGCTGTTTGGATTCATGCTCTGTGCAGTATGCGTGGGTTTGCAGCCAGTGTTAGTCTTTTTTGGTTAGCTTGATTAGCTTGAAGCTGTTTTTGTGGTTCAAGCAACACAGGCAAGGTTTCCATACAAGCAAGGTTTCCAGAGGTTTGTAGCCATGTCAGCTGGTACCATCCAGATCGATGACTATGCCTTGACAGAGGAGGCCAACCAGCTCAAGTTGGTCTTGTACTTCAGTGATGGAACCAGCCAAAAGTGACTTGACCAGATGTTTTATCCATTGTTCAACTCCAATATTATTCAGACTTCGTTTTTGGTGCTTTAACCAACTAAGGTATCCAAGGCCACTACCTAATCCAGATGGTAGAACGAGGTCCAAGTGGGCTGTTGTACACAGTTTGTGTCGCACATCCATGACCCTGTACAGGGTGTACCAGGCACCAGGCCAGGAGCCAGAGGTCATTGAGTCAACCCAACTTGCTAAGTGTATCCATGAAATTGGATACCAGGAGGCCATACCATTGGTCCATAAGTGGTTCAGCTAGATCTAGCCAGTTTCAGAAAAGATAAAACTGTTAGCCGCATGCAGTATTTGTTGTTGCCATCATGGCATTTCATCCTTATGGCATTTCATCATTTTAGACAAATACATATTCAAAATGTATCGTCTGGCAGATACGATCCCATTTGGAGAGCACTGCCGGACAGACGCCACTTCGCACCGACATCTTGTTGCAGATAAAAACCCTTTCGTCTGCGCGATGAAACAAAGGAGTTTCGGTGTGTGGTCTCTGTCACGAAAGGTGGATCATTTCCTATACAGTTGGCTGCGTCTATGTCCACTCCTGTTTTACCTTATCTATGTCTCATTGTCTATGTCCACTCTTATAATGAAAAAACTGGAAACGAAACGTTCCTGCTTTCCCACAGTTCGTGGACTCCTGCTTTGCTTTTGTCGAGCGATCGGAGTGCTCTGCGAGGCAGATCTGACAGACACGCTCCACTTTGGAGAGCGCTGCGAAGCAGACACCGAGGCGCAAACCTGAAGACTTATGCATGTGGGGTCACAGGCTGTTTAGCTGTTTGCTTTCTTGCTTTTTCTTTGTCGCTTTCTAGTTCATACCCGCGCTTGGAAAGCTTCACATGGAAAAGGTAGAATCTGGCTCAAAACGTTTGGCAATCGTATAGCTGTTGGTATGGAAGCTATTTTCGCTTACCTTGAAAGATGGTCCTGGCGGACTTGGGAATGGCTTGGGCGCGTCGCGGCTCAAACGGATGCACGTGGACTTCGCTTGCAGGCGATTGAAAAGCGATTGAGCACTGGGCGGAAATCCGTCGGAAAGTCATCAAAGATGAAACGACCGGTCCTGCGGGGGATCGCTGTTATGAGGAAGCCAGGATCCAAGGAGTCGGCTCGGAAGTCGTTGAAACAGAACAAAAATAGTCAGAAATGAGCGCAGCGCTGGACGCTGGAACTGCCTTACAGAGGCGTCGCAGTATTTTCACATTCGTGTGAATTGCGTTTCAGACGTATCTGATGACTCAACTGCATTTCAGAAGCGTCTCAGTATCTTTACATTCATGTGTCTCATTGTCTGGACCTTGTACTTTAAATGGTCTGATGTGGAAAAGGGGCTGTGGCGCAATGTTTGAGAACTGTTTGCGTTGTTCTTCTTTGCTATAGAATCACCTTTTGGTACTTCTTGCTTCTGCGAGTTGCGAGGAGACGAAAGTTGGAGCATACCGGTTGGGTCCTGAGAGTGGCAAGAGAATTACAACTAGATGGATTAGATAGCGTACGCGTTGTTCAACATTGTTTTGTGCGAATTATTGGTTCCTAAGCTGCGTGGCCGGAGAAGTAGAAGTAGTTTTAGGGCTTTTTCTAGAAATGCCTCTGTAAGCATAGCGCGGTCTGCAGACAAATCAGAGAGATTCCAAATGTAGAATGTACGATGTCGCAACCTTCGCATGGGGCCATTTATGCATGCCTGTCAGCCCTTGCGAACACACGATGGCGGCTCAAGCTTTAAACGATTGTGAACTGTGCCTGACATCAGGAGACTAAACGCTAGCAGGTCATCAGTCAGCTTGGAGATTATCGTAATGTTGCATCTGTATCACTCCTGTTCTTGTCTCGGTTCAATCCCATTTGGAAGGTGCTGAGACATACACGCAAAAATCACTGTCGTTAAAACACAATGACAAGTAACTGCCATAGGGCATAGCATTCGCAAAACGATGTCAGTGAACGCAAGGGGAAATTCGTTCAGGGCCAGGGTCAAGAGTGGTCAGAGAACCTTTTCCGGTCCAGCGCGCGAAACTCGGGAAGCAGCTGAGCAGGATTTGCGTGAGTGAGTCGCTGGAGGCTTTGGAAGCTACTAAAGCTCGCTTGAATCAGACAGATACACTGGAGGATGTTCTGGCTGGTTCGGTGCAGGCACATGGCAAATCGTTCAGGGCCAGGGTCCCAAAAGGTCAGAAGACCGTCTTCGGTCCATGTCGTGCAACTCCGGCAGCAGCTCAACAAGATTTGCGTGAGTTAACTGTGACCCGTGGTGAATCGCTGGAGGCTTTGGAAGCTACTCAAGTTCGTTTGCGTCAGAACAATACACTCGAGGATTCTCTGGTTGCTGGTTCAGTGCAGGCACATGGCAAATCATTCAGGGCGAGGGT